AAATTCTCAATATCTCCTTAGAAATTTATTTAACCCGGCGTCAGCACAGTCAAAATATGCATCAACGACAGTAGGGTTGGGTCGAGAGGACCCGTATAAGAAAACGCCATAATTACAAAAGTTAAAATAAATTTGGTATGTGGTTGTACTATCTGTATAAAACGATTATCGTTATAGGTTTTTAGTAGAAAAAAACACAACATGATACGAAACTATCTTTTTAATGTCATTTTCATAAAAGTGTCACAAAATATTAACAAAATGGACAACCTCTGTCTTAAAGTAATAAAATTTTAACAAAACATTTTTTTTTATATAACATAAACTAATTTGTTACATGTTAATCAAATCTTTAGTAAACTAATAATATTATACTATTTGTATCAGTCTCATACGTCAGTCATAGTATCCTTATCATCTGCGCAATCTCGGCAGTACAACATTGCATGGTCACTGCAGATGTATTTGCATATACAGCTCCGAAAATTATTAGTTTTCTATCTTTTTTGGCAGAACAGTCTTGGCATCTCTTTCTTACATAAAGTATCTTCACAGGTGGCTCCTCATCAGGTACCTACTCCTAAAAACTCTCTTATTCTTTTGCGTATAAGTCTTAGCAACTGAATGACATCTTTACGATTGCGCAAATGCTCACGAACCAGTATAAGGCTTAAGTTTCTTTAGAAATTGGCGTTATGTAATATGTACGCATTTATTTCAGACATATTTGCCAAAAATAACAAAATAAACAATATAAAACAACAATAAAACATTTTTTTAAACGGCGCAAAATTACGACACGAATAGTATGGTTGGGTCATATTTACCTTTTTCGTGTTTGGCCGTGTCTATCACTCGCTGCGGCCGCAACACGACTGATTGGCAAATCCCACGTGGAGGGGGGCACCATTAGCTCCAGCTACTGAGAAGTTTGGCAAAGTCGCACAAACATTTTAAGAAACACGCTCATTTGAAAACTGCTCGGGTCAAATAGACCCAACTGTGCGAACGCCGGGTTAAAAATAAGACAACTGCGTTTTTTAACCGCAATAGAAATAAGTAATAATTTGGAGGAAACATTTGTCCCACTATTTCCATTGCAGTGGAAAATGGAATTCTGTACTTGTCATGCTCAAACTGGGCGCCATCCTTACAAAAATTTTATTTACTGTCTGAGTGGATGTGTTTGTTTGGTTTGGGTATGTATTATTTATAAAAGTGAAAATTAATAAAAAACAAATTTAATTCTTATAAATTTTTATTGAGTTAAATAATCAAAAATGTAAACGAATTAACTTGGTACACTACCTCAGTAGATGCTCAAGCTTAAGTATTTATTATTATAATAAAATTATAATCGAGATCGAAATAAAAAAAAGCAACTTCTGATACAATGAGTTTAAAATTAAATAGTAACAAAATGTTTTATTGTTATAATTATACATGAGATCAAATCAAAAAGTTATCAGGCAATTAGTAAGGTTCTTGAAATTAGCGTATTATTATTAGCTTAATAATTTCCCAATATTATCAATGCCCGTTTAGACGGGAATTTCTAACAGACGTAGACGGCCGTAACGTATATTGTCGAATTTTCAACAAAAACGCAGACCAATTAGTTATTTTGCTCACCATTTTTAGGGTTCCGTAGCCAAATGGCAAAAAAACGATATTCATACAAAAATAGAAAAAAAAACGAATGGACGTAGATTTTTTTTTTATCAAATCTTTACGTGTGGGGTATGGATAGGTCTATAAAATTGATAGGTCTATAAATTAAATATGGGACCCATTTCCACTAAATGTTGTTAGAATTCATAATGCAATAAGGTCGAAATTTTAGTTTGATAGTGTTTTGATGACATAATGACATAATGAATCGACCCTTGAAATGATAACCTCTTTATAAAATACTATTTCGTGTCAGTGTCATTGAAAAAACAGTTTAATGTGACATTTTTACAAAGTATAATTCGGAAACGGAACATAACATAACATCGGAAATGATCTTTTGCTGTCGCTTCAGATGACGTAATTGCATGGTTGTCCCTAGTAACGTAAAGTTGTCAATGGTAAACATTATGACATTGACGTTGCATTAAAATATTAGCTTTATACAGCTTGCAGCAGATTGCTACACGATATTCAAAGGTGGGGCCCAGATGAAAGCTCGTGTCTGTACATTACCATGCAAACTTCTAGCAAAAGTTGATTTGAACGAGATCAAGCAATTACCGCAATTTACATTTAATTCAATATAAAAATATTTATTTAGATAATGGTACGGAACCCTTCGTGCGCGAGTCCGATTCGCACTTGACTGGTTTTTAAATATGCATACTATTCAAATATACTGCTTATAGACATGTTTTCTCCTGCTAACCAATCTACAGTACAGACACGAATTATGAAATCTTGCAGATCCATGTTATTGTAAGCTGCCTTTTTATGATTTCATTTTTGACCATCATCATTTGCATGCCCTTTTCCCAATTCTATATGTGGTCGACGCAACATGTCTTCCGCTTCCATTCTCCTCTATCACTCGCAATATCAACACTCACTCCCTTACTGGCCATGTCCTCATTCACACAATCTATCCATCTTTTTTTCTTCGGTTTCCTCTCCCCGGGTAACCCTCCACTCTCATTATACAGGTTGGCTTATTGAAATGGGTCAGGATGGGAAAGTCTGAAACTATAATATATATGAAGATCTGTTCTTGGGAACAAGATTTTAATAAAAATAAAAACTGCATTCATACATTTAAGAAAAACCCTGTGATCAGCATGGGAATCAAATCCGGTCGTTTTGAAAAAAAAAACTTACACTATTTCTATTTAAATATCGATTATGTAGGTCTGAAGCAGTAAATGTTTCTATTAAACGTGATGTCTCAAATGCGTAAAATGCATTTTTGTCACATAATTTAAATTATTTCAGTAGAGGTTCTAAGTGACCACCGTTTTTTTAATACAAAATTTAACACGTATAGGTAACTTATCTTACTAATAAATAGAAATAGGAAATAGTGTTAGTTTTTTTTTTCAAAACGACCGGGTTCGATTCCCCAGCTGACCACAGGGTTTTTCTTAAATGTATGAATGCAGTTTTAATTTTTATTAAAATCGATGACATAGTTCCTAAGAACAGATCTTCGTATATATTATAGTTCAAACTTTCCCATACTGACCCATTTAAATGAGCCATCTTGTATACTCTCATATTAAATTTTTGACCATTATATAATTATTTGCCGAACAAGGATTGCTGCCTGATTTTTTAAATTGCTTACAAAATCTTTTTGTGCCGACCAAATTATTTAAAGGCTGACCAATTATATACTTCTCATGAAACATTAGTATTTTGTGTAACCTCCTTCTGCATTTAATACGTCTTGTAAACGTTTCCTCATGGAACCAACTACCTTCTCACAAAAACCTCGACCTCTGAACGATTCCCAAACATCATTTGCATGTCGCCTTAAGGCTTCTGTTGTTCGACATTGATTCCCATCCCACTCTTGCACCATTTTACCCCAAAGGTTTTCGATGGGATTGAGGTCTGGACTTTTTGGTGGTAGTTTGATTAAAGTTAGTTCTCTCTGTTCATTAATCCATGTCTGTACTGTACGAGCATTATGTACTGAGCTGTTGTCTTGAAGGAATGTCATTTGTTGTTCTGGATAAAAAACTTGAGCTGTAGGAAGAAAAGTATCTTCCAGAAGTTCCTTATAATTCATTGCATTCATTCGTCCACTTATTTCCACAAGCTCACCAGGACCATCTTTGCACATCCATCCCCAAAATCCAATTGAAATACGTCCACTCCGGCGATTAGGCAGCACATTTTGTTCTAAGTAACATGTGTTTTCGGGTCGCCACAAACTTAATCGCCCATTATCTGATGAGCAGAGAACCTTTTCGTCCATGAAAATAACGTTTTGAAAATTAAAATTTAAATAATTAGCTGCAAATTGTAGCCGCTGCATTTTGTGCCTTGGCGTGAGAGTTGGTTTTTTTGCCGGTACTCTATTTTTTAAACCTCCTTCTTCGTCTTCTAATGGTGCTAGTGGATATTTCGAATGTGCTTGAAAATTGTGTAGTGTTTATAAATCTGTCATTTTTGGCTTTATCTATAATAGCTATGTCTTGGTTATTTGTAGTAATACGCGGGCGACCAAATGAAACATGATTATTTAATGTTTCTCCTTGCTGCCATCTTTCTAGCCATAAATATACAGTATTTCTCTGAAATAAATACAATTTTATACTTTGTGAATAAAGTTTCATGTTTTGTGGGCAATTGATTTTTAGCATTTTTCTCCGTGATACTTACGGCTATCCCTAGCTCATCGGCGATATCTTTTACGGATAAACCATCATTTTTTAGTTGTATTATTTTATGTTTCATTTCCGCATCAATACGGTACGAACTCATATTAATTATAGTTAATTTATGGTATGAACTAATACGTAAGCAAGCTGCTTGAATTTATTTGTGCATGACACATGACAGAGGTGATAAGAATAAAAACTGGAAAGTGTTTAACTGCCAGCGTCATCTTATTATAAATAAATAATTAAGAGGTCCTATTAAAATTGTTCAGATATTTTTGAAAAGTTGTATGTTCAGATATTATTGACAGGCATCTGCTCAGATATTATTGAAGTAATGAATGATCAGATATTAATGGTCACTTGTAGTGTATAGAACTTATTGACATTTTAACTGTTCAGATGTATTTGGTCATCTTGTATGCTCAGATATATCTGATGGCGACTGTACATTTGCCACCCTGGCTACAATAGCCCCCATGACCTTATATCTGTGGCCGACGGTATATACTCCAAAGAAACTTTGTGATGTTACTATAATAGAAGGGCGGTTAAAATACGCGCGTTTTTTTACCATAAAAAACGTACTCTGAATGAAACAGCCCAGTGTACATAGTTCCATCCTGTTAACATGAGTATAAATATTGTTTCCTCATTTTACAGTACACAAATGAGCGGGACAGAATGCTCAAAGTATACTTCATCTGCTCGCTCGTAGTTTACGTGGCCGTGGTCATGGTACAACTGCTGGCATTCAACATGTAAGTCGTTATTTAACGTCTAATAATTATTTTTTTGTTATAATCATTTTTTCATCAAGAATTAAGGGGCATTTAATTTGCGGATACTATGTACATCCTTATTTAATACTAGGGGCCCGCCCTCGCTTGTATGTAGAGCTGTAGTGTAGACTAAAATGGCTTTCTTCATATATATAATTAAAAACCTTCCGTGAAAATTAGATATACTTACTTATATTACAAAGCTAGGGAATTTGTTGGTTTTTTCTTGGTTCAACGCGCTCCTAAAATACTGGTCCGAATTGAAAAAAAAATATGCTATAAAATAACATTACGCTAGGACCAGTAGGACCGAAGAATCGATGAAAAATGTTGCAAAAACAGGTAAAAATAGCCCATTTGTGAACTTCCGTAACGTGCGCTGGGCAAGCGGTTAAAGTTACAAATCATGTATCAATAAAAATCATGTATAACGGACACTTCAATAAAAATCACGTAAAATGGAATTGTTTTCCTTTAAAAGTTGTACAAAAAAGTCCGCGAAAGCATGTGTCCATGTTTTAAGTTTTTTCTTACAACCTTTTTTCTCAAATTAACGCAGGTGAAACCAAACAGGACCTCTAGTTGTGGCATAACTGTAATAGCTAGACATATAGTATCGCAGATTTTTTGTAGATATTGATGTTGGCTATAAAAAAAATTAAAATTACTTTGCTCTATTGTCAATGGCTACAATGACTAGCGTACGCGATATAACGTTATTTTTATGTATTTTTTTCATTGGGTTAAATTATTGAAGTTTCCATACGGTCCCTAACTTTTTTGAAAATACTCTATAGCCTATGTTCATCATGGATAATGTAAAAATCTAAATGTGAAAGATTTTTTCCAAACGGTTCAATAATTTTGGAGCCTATTCAATACAAACAACTATCTAACATACAAACAAGCAATCAAATCTTTCTTCTTTATAATATTAGTATAGATAAATAAAGATATTTGATTCGTGGGACTAGTAGTTGCTGATAAGTGAGAGAGATCTTAATCCAATCTTAGTACCTAATCTTTTACGAAGCTGTGTTACTGCAACCCATGTGCAAAATCCATCTGCTCTTCTCTGAATCTGATTTTTATTGATCTTATTAATATTCAATGTACTGTGCGCTTGAATAAAACTATTAAACTTCGATCTGACAAATAATCAAGTGAACTCGACGCTTATCGCTGATTTGTCTCTTTTTTAGTAACGTGATCGGCTTTATTTTCATCGGAGCTTGCGGTCTCGTCGTCCTCTCCGCCACGTACGTCGTTCTCTGCATTGATTTCAAGGTAAGGCTACAACAGAAATCCTCACTATTATAGTCAAATATCACAATGACAGCTATTTTCACAAAACTTCGGTCCTTTGCAGGACCAATGATATTATATATGGCAGACACGATTTTTGTTTTTCATAAATACATTAACACTGTGCAGTTTTTGAATCCATAAAGTCGGACCACGATAAGTCTGCAGTGACTGACAGTAGCAAAAATTTAAACTGCACATGGCAGTACTGATTATAGTTAAATTAACTTTCCCTGATACTTTATTATTAACCGACTTAAAAAGGAGGAGATTCGTAATTATATACCTATATAAATTTTATTGTTGTTCGCACATTTATGGGCGAATTTCGATGATTCACTTTTAGGGTTCCATACTCATAGGTACCCTAAAACGGAACCCTATTGCTGGCAATCTGTCGTCTGTCTCTCTGTCCATATGCCACGGGTCTATAGATCGTAAACGAAATGAGTAACAAAACTGAAACTTTGGCATTTTATGTGGAATGCTTGTCCAAAGCTGAATTTTTGGTTCAAAATTCAATTTCATTATTTTTAATGGGGTGCATATACTTAATACATCATTGTATATGGCTCATTGAGTAGGATATCAACATTGTTACGTATCGGAATGGGGTTCGAAAGTATAATGGCAGCTCACACTTGACAGTTCAAATCAACTGTCCCTGCCCGGAGCCAGGCGGGGCACTATAGGAATCATTTTCAATTCAAAAATCTATAACTCCTGTGTTAATAAAGATATCATCATGATCTTTTTTTTCTGATAATCTTGAATATATTTGCTTTTAAATAATGTATAATTTGTGTATAAAAGTTTATTTATAATACTTACAAAAAATATACGATTTTTTAGACTTACATCTATGTTTTAATAAGTTTATAAAGGTAACTAGTAAATGTAACTGCTTAAAATTAAAAACAAACATCATAGTAGCTCAAATGTCACTTAAGAGCTTCTTTTCTTCATCAAAAAAATCTAAATATTTTTTAGTATAAGGTTTTCTCAAACTTGTAATTTACGGATCAGAGGTATACAATAGTGTGTAGAACATCTTCGTTGGTGGCTGTCCTCGAATATTTTCTTGCATTATGAAGCCTGAACTGTTTGTAGTTTTTGTTCCGTTACTCTTGAGCATCTTCTTAAAGTTGCCCAAGAGGCAATACCGAAAAATGACGTATGACACCATGAATCAAAACCTTGTGCACTGAAGATGGCACATAGTACAATTTATATTTATTAACATACAGTTGTGCTCAATCAAATTCCTTCTCCAATTTCTATTTTGGCTTAAGAACGTTTTTCTATCGGCCTGCTTTAATACAGCGTTGAAGAAACTGAGTTATGAAAGACTTCTGAATACTTGCGATAATTTTAGCAATATTTCAATCTGAAGATTCGGTGAAATTAATTCGTATATAGTTAGAGATGGAAACACCATAATTTGAATCACTTTCAAACAATAAGAGACTTACGGTGCGTCTGGTACACGAGAACTGACTCATTGCGGCAAGATATTTAAAAAATAATTATTTACGACAAAAACTAATGAATAACTGTAATATTTCATACTCAAATGCACTATTTTATACCGAAAAATTATGAAAGACGTGTGCAAAATTAGTAGATGTAAACTATTTTACAATTATGCGGTATTGTGATTTTCCATGATTCTTATGGGAATGGGATCTAAATATTATGATAAATACACGATATTAGTATAGCATAAGATAAAAAAAATATAACAAAAGGGCCAAGAGCCTTTATTTAAATGTCCGTGCTGAGAAACCCGAAATCAGGAAAGTCTTATTAAACGTACCTAAAAATATATGTTTTCACACGCTGATATTCTAAGACATTTGACAATGTTATGCACTGATACAGCAGAAAAAAATTTGTTGCCGTCAAATAATATTATATTATCTAAGAAATAACACAAAAACAGAACTTCGGCAAGCTTCGGCAAATGTCAAAACTCCAACTGAAAGTTTAAGAAACGAAAATAGTCCACATTATGATATAGATTTTTTTAATTGAATAATATTAAAAAAAATCATATATTTTATAGAAAAGAAGACATTCTAAGCTTTCTAAAATGGTATCACACTTACATGACTTCTTTTGTTATGATCCTATAAAATTATACCAAACTAACTGAAATCTAATTGTTATTTTTGTATTTTTTTCATTCCCTGACTTTAGATGTTCTTCTTTATAAAATACGAAGAGTCAGAGACTTAAATTATATTGATTATAATAAAGTAACTCTTTAGCTATAATTTGATGTATAATACATGCCTCGAATCACAGTTACGAAAAAAACATTTATGAGATGGCTTTCTTAGGCGGGTTCCCATAGTGCGCCCTTAGAAAAGGGTAGCCGTGAAAGTTGTCATTATTAAACAATTTTTGCTACGTGGTCTATCTCAAAATCGAAACTAGTTAAGAATGTGAAAGTTTGGTTTGTGCCATATGCACATCACATACCAAAACTTCAATTTCAAAATCTGTATTAAAACAACAAATAATGAAAACGTGATCATAACGTACTTTGTGAGTTGTGATAAAAACAAACAAATGATTTTTCCTTTTGCAGTACCTATATTGCGAACTGCGATGTAGATATCATTAGAGCTCGAAAACGAACTATTTCTTAGTTCAGTGATATTAGGTAGCTTCTATAATAGGATGATATTGATGACATTTTTGAATGACTTTGTCTTAAAAGGGCTGCTAGATGTTTTGCTGGTGTGACCTGATTATTGAATTTTATAATATTAATCGCCGAGGTTTAAACTCAATCTGACAATCTGATTTAACCCTATGCTGAAGTTGTTTAGATACTTGATACTCACACCAATTAGCTTAGGCCTAAAATATCCTAAAGGAGAACGGGCAAAAATGTATGGAAGCCTGCTTAGGAACCAGACTAGAAGAAACACAAAATGCGAAATATCAATGGGTAGATTTTTCATGTACCTACTTTAACTATTGTTATAGAGGGAAGTCCCAAGGTGTTTTCTTTGATAAAAGTATTAACGCAATAAAGACAGACTTCATTCAAAAATATGTGTTTATTTTTATGTTAATCGTCAATAAATTTTGTTTATTTTGTAAAACAAACATAGTGAAGTACCGAAGAAATTAGTTAAGTCTTTCTTCGTAAAATATTTTTTTAACAGCCTTGACTCGGGTACAAATGCTCGTATTCATCATACAAACAATTTCGCCTACTGTGATTCGGATCTAGGACCTCGGAGTAGACGACGCCTTTAAAACGCGGTGTACAGACTACTTCGTAGGTCGTCAACTTTTATCCTTATACGATCATTACAATCATCATCAGCCGATAGACGTCCACTGCAAAACATAGGCTAATTGGTGTGAAAATTACTAGAGGCGGCCTATTTCCAGCATTGGACTTCCATCATTATAATATAGCATTTTAAATATTATCTTTCCAGCACACATCACCTCGCCTGAAGCGATTGGCATCGAGGGTGCATAACAACCGCACGATCGCACAGATTATGTCGTTCATCGTGGTTTCTGCCTTCATACTTCAAGTTCAATTTATCATGGTACGAATGGTTTTGTTTCCAGTCCCAGCATGAATATTTAGCTCGTTTTTATCACGAATTGACTTATTACTATGGAGTTTGACAGTGAACCGCGAAAAAAAACCTGATATAATGCAAATTGTGGTGCTAACGCTACGGGCGCAAGGCCCTGTTTCACCAAGTCGACATGTGTCATTAAGCTGGCAGGCATTTTGTCCCAATTGTCAATTGTCCGTATCTTACTTCAAGATAATTTTATTGTGTTGTGAATCAAGGGTATTTTTTTCAAGTCGATATAATTGACAAATTATCAATGTAAAATTTGTGTTACTGTTGTAGTATTTTCGTTATTAGTTTCAAAATCGCTCTCGGTGGTTGAAAAGATGAGTTCTTACACAGGAGAGTTTATAAATAACCAATAATTTTCTCCTTTGATATCACCGATTTTGCGTTCAAAAAAATTAGATATACCACCACCAGAAATAAAAGTAAGTGAAATAGGGCTAACTGGTGTATATTTATTAATTGAGAATATTACAAATATGTAGGTAGGCAAATGCACATCAAATTTATGCAGGCAAGCAAATGCTACCTCAATACGTTTTTGTGCTTGTATTAAAACTTCAAATAAGACATAAATCTAAACAAAATTTTGCTATATATAATTTCTCTACTTAGATAAAATTATATTATTTAACTACAATTGTTTTTTTTTTTGTATACTTAAGGCTTTTTTTCCCTTGTTTCGCCCCTGTATGTAGAATTATTTGAATTCAGAAAGTCGTCTGACGATACTGAAAGTTTAAGAAACACTCTCATAGAGCATGATGAACCTTTTACCTTTTTTACCTTTTACTTTTGTATTGAGGAGCTCGATGGCGTAAGAGGTTAGCGCATTCGGCTGCGATCGTTGAAGTTAAGGAACTTTCGCAGTGGTCGGTCATTGGATGGGTGACCAAAAATTTACTATCTTGAGTTCCTCCGTGCTTCGGAAGGCACGTTAAGCCGTTGGTCCCGGCTGCATCTGCAGTCGTTAGCACCCGCAAATCCGCACTGGGCCCGCGTGGTGGGTCATGGCCCAATCTCCCTATTCCATTAGTAGGGAAGGCCTGTAACCCAGCAGTGGGGACATTAATAGGCTGATGATGATGACTTTTGTATTGCTTTTATATTTACAGTTACATAGACGTAAAAATGTTGTCATCCCTACTAAAATTAATAAACTAAGTTTCAAACTCGGTCACAAACTCATTACAGTTTTTAACTTTTTATCACCTGACCCGCCAACCATGAACATAGAAACTATGCCTAGAACTGATTAAAGTTGAGTAACTACTTGATGAATGTATTATAATACTTTACTTTTTTCTTTTCCTATATCTTAATATATGTTTAGGTGCTTGGACTATACAGTGGCTCCCGATTGGATCCTAAGACGTCGCTACATGATGCTGCCAGCAGTGCCTTTTGTCCATATGATATGAACGAGGTAAGTACTTTTTCAAACTCTAAAATGAGTGTTTTGATATTCCATGAATAAAAATAAAGAAAAGAAAAAACCTAAGAGTAAAATAATCTGTTATAGAAAATATCTTGAAAATACGTGAACACAAGATGCTAAGATCCAATTTATTTTCAGCACTACCTCCAACTGACACTGATGGTGATGTTCCTGTGCGCTGTACACCAGATTCTTATTACAATCGTGAAGACAATCCTGCTCTTGATAACCTCAGTGGCATACTTGGTCATCACAACTCAAGAGCACATGTACCTTACTAACTACTTCTTCGAATTCCAGTGAGTTTCAGCACGTATAAAACTTAATTATCTACTAGTTTCTAATGTTTTTCACACAAGCGTCTGCGTTTTTGCTTATTAGGCTCATATGCTAAATGTAGTCATTTGAAATATTACAAAGAATTAAGGCAAATATGTGAAAGTAGGTAAAGAGTTGTTGCATTGTTTTATCACTGGTGTTTGTTTGTATTAGACAAATCAGGCACCTAAAAAAATAACCATTTTTCTACTCAAGCGAACGCTACTAATATGAAAGTTTAAAAATAAGTAATAACTTTCCAAATTATATGTCGTAACCGTTTCATTTCCATAAAATAACATATGTTTGATCGCATAAAGCTTACTACAAGTAACTTCCCTTTTATATTTTTCAGCTTCCAAGTTAGCGTTATCGAACAAACGAATAGGAAGAATGCAATTTATCTAAACCCATAGATTTTGTTGTTGTTGTAAAGTTATAAAATTCCATTCAAACGCTTAACCCGGCGCTTTTAATATTACTGCACACTTATATTCTTGACAGACACCACTGCGGCCTGGATTGGAACCAGCAGTGGACGAACATCGTTATCACCCTAGGCGCCACTGTTGCGCTGATGCTGCATTCACAGCAAACAGAGAGTACATACCGATTGGACTTCATCTGGAAACTACAGGCTAATGGTGAATATTTAAATACAAACATAACAAACAATACAAGTAATGTCTTCGATTCTATTCCAATATATTGTGAAAAATCCTGCAGCTTAAAACTGTTTAAGGGATTAATCCTCGATAGTTATTAATAGTACCTATACTTTATAAACAATTTCGGAAACCTAGATGCAAAAGATTTACAACAGAAGTTTCTCTAGTGTTTCGTAATTTATATTTTAAAGTAATCTGCATTTGCTGTGCCAGGGGAAACGCGGTAGGGTACCGGATATAAGAGGACGCCCACGAGGCGCCCTTATCTCTCTTAAAGTATATAAGTTAAACTGACTGTTAGTTGCAGTAGATATACTACAATTTTACTGAGTATTCCGTTATTTTAAATTTATTTACTGATTAATGAGTTGCGAGAGTTCAAAAACAGTTCAAAAAGGTTACATTAGTTATCTTTTTGAACTCTCGCAACATGAATTTTATGTAAATAATGATAAACATTAGTTTTATCTAAAAAGTTGAAATATAAAAGGGGGAAAATTACTACTATTTCTTTTCTGGGGAAAAAACTGTTTAATCAGGTACAAGTACAAATTTATTTAAAATATGTTTACTTCTTAAAACAGACCTGAGGAGAAGTTTAACAGGAGTTTTGAGTGATAACTTGTCATAAAATGATTATTTTTATTTTCTAATGCTCCACTTAAACTAAAAAGAATAATAAAACTTAATATTGACAAAATATGCAAAGATACTACGAAATTATAAAATATTAAATTTACACGATTTCCGATACAACACCTTCAACTTTTTCGATTTCATCAAATAATGCCCAATTTAGTATATCTGTTTTTTTGTATTTTTATAAAAGCTTATGAAGTCGGGTAGTTTTTAAAATTAGTCAGAAGTTATGGAACATTTTTTTTTAATTGAAATTCTATTATGTTTTACTTAATCCATTTTTATTTAGTATCGATAAAAAAAATATATCTTAGGTTAAGGTAGTGAGTAAGTAGGGAGAAGATTATTTTACTGATAAAACTACAAACAATAGGCATTCTGTTAAAAAAAAACGAAGAAAAGTCAACCCAAAAAAAGATTTACTTTTTCCAAGTTGTCTCATCGTGGAATCGTAAAAAATGACAAAAAAAATCTAACTCGCAAACTACGAAAAATCGTAGAACATACATGGGGGTTAAATTGATAGGCATGGTTCAGCTCGCACTGGCTTGACACCCTAGAAGAAACATCCTGTATATAAATAACTAAAAAATATAGTTAAATTTTGATAACTTAATAAAAGATTTCGCCTATAGAAAGACTAGAAAAGTAAACTTTTATTAGTATTTTCATTGTTTATCCGTGTTTTTTTTCGTATGGGTTTGAATTACAGTTAGGGGGCGCCGCAGAAATCTCGCCCAGGGCGCTGGTAGTACTAAAGCCAGCCCTGGCAATCTGGACACTCACAAGCATGCCTTGATCCAAAAAAAGTTTTAAGATTTCTTGCCCTAAAGCTATCGAAGGTTATCTGACAGTTGATTAATTCTAATGTTTTTAATTACGATACAGATGAAAAAGAGGATATGGAACACCTGGAGGCTTACAACCGTAAACTGCTCGCAAACATTCTTCCTGAACATGTCGCACAACATTTCCTTTGCAGCGATAAGAACATCGATGTAAGTATTTAGAAACACTTTGAGATCTCACTTTGACCATATAACAAATCAATCCATGTTTAAAAAATCTGTTTTAATTCAATTGCTCTTTAATGACGCTTTACAATCACTCTGTAATAACAACAATAACCTAAAAAATAACGTGATGACAGAAGTTTAACTTCGAATAGAGAATCAAGAACTTAGTTATAAGGGTCCCTTACACCAACATGCTTCATTCAAATTAAGACTGAATCTTACTCATTAGTTTACGTATCATTCATATACTTTATTGTTCAAAGTCAAATAGAGATGGAATGGGTTTGGTTTAAAAATATTAGGATTTTGGTACAAGTTGTCCTAATAACGTTGTTGCAAGTGAGCTAAACTCTTCGATCAACAATACTATAGATAACGGGAGAGCGCGTAAAATCCTTCTCGTTAAATATACTCACTTGAGGCGTGAGATCTTATTAAATAAAACAAGTTTCAACGGCATAGATGCACTGATTTATTTACTTACGACGTTTCACATCCTGAAAAGGATGCGTCATCAGAATCGTGACGACTTAGCATGAAAAGGATGCGTTGCTGTGCATCTAAACCGGTTTTATTTAATGAGTGGTGTGCGTGAAAACCTAAAAAACAAATGTGAGATCTTATTTTCAATTAGTTTGGGTAATACACAGCCAATGTAAACACGCTTCACACTGACACAGTGTGCATTCAAGAGTTGCAAAAATAAGTACCAAATAAGCAATGTTTCTGTCGGAGTATCTTACTTTCAGTAAGTACATGTATAATACACTAGATTTTTTGCTTTACACTAATAATTAATGTCATATTTCTAATAGAATCACAATATTCAAACCTCCGCTAAGAATATTTGACAACATTGGTCCAATATTTTGCTCAACATTTTTCCAACAACCATTTCGCAAAAACTAAAAGAATCGACGTAAAAACGAAGTAACTCACTGGCCAATGACTGGTAAAAATACTTTATTTTGTGGGCCATAAGGTTGATTTCACATTTTTCTTTTTTCACCTTTATCGTTTTTGTTCCAAGTATCAGATATAATTTATTGTTTTGTTCGTTTTCTAAGATAAAAGGTCGTAAGTACGAAATAACATTTTGTTATTTGTAACATGGTTGTTATTAGGTTCAACTTAAACTGTTTTTTAAACATTTGTCGTTGTTCATTGGCAATGGAATGTCTGCATAAATATATACACACGCGGACAGGTTGTAGCTTTGATTTTGTATGCAACCCGTTATCTATAGAATTCTTTATCGAAGGCAAAACCCACTTATAATTTCAAAAACCCGCCAGCAATACTTACTATGCTTCTGAAGCAGGAGCTGTATCACGAACAATGCGAGTCTGTTTGCGTAATGTTCGCTTCGATCCCGAACTTCTCGGAATTTTACGTGGAGCTGGAGGGCAACAACGAGGGCGTCGAGTGTCTCCGCCTCCTCAACGAGATCATCGCTGACTTCGACGAGATCTTGGCTGAGGACCAGTTCAAGTACATTGAGAAGATAAAGAGCACCGGTGCCACATATATGGCTGCATCAGGTCAGTACATACGTTGTGCTTGCTGTAGTCATTTTGAAAATACCTTTTTATAGTTTTATTTTTATTTTTTAAGCATTTAACTGCAAGATGTTTAATCTAATGAAAATTGACTAGATAAAATTCCACGCGGACCAGGCAGCAGATGGGACTTGAACCCTGTACTTGTAGAGGTATTCATTTGACATGTGTGCTACCTACAATGCGAAGAGATGGCGCTGCCTTGCAGCCTAAGAAATACTAGAGAAAATTTGAAACAGACGATTAGAACCGTGGTAGCATAATGGTCAGTGCATCCACCCGGATAGCGGAGGATGCAGGTTCGAGTCCTGTCTGCTGCTTGGTCCGCGTGGTTTTTTTTCTAGTAGAATTTTCTTTAGATTTATTACCTGACAGCTGAAGTACTTAAAAAACTACCTAAAAAGGCTGTTGTATATCTTGCTGCTCTCTTTAACGGTATTCTTCGTCTATCGTACTTCCCGAAATCATGGAAGGTGTCATATATCGTTATGATACCTAAACCTGGCAAAGACCACTATGAGGTGTCATCCTACCGACCCATTAGCTTGCTGCCCATACTATCTAAATTGTTTGAAAAGGTATTCCTCACTCGCTTAATTACACTGGTACAAGACAAAAAGCTAATACCTGATCACCAATTCGGGTTTCGAGAGCGACATTCTACTGTAGAACAAGTTCACAGAGTGGTCAATCAGATAAGATCGGCCATGGAGCAGCGCCAGTATTGTTCTGCCGCCTTTATAGACGTTCAACAAGCTTTTGATAAAGTTTGGCACGAAGGCCTTCTATACAAAATTAAGAGACACTTTCCTCACAACTTTTTCACTCTCATCAAATCGTACTTAGATGATAGAATGTTCCGAGTAGTTGTTAATGAAGACCTTTCCGGATTCTACGATATAAAAGCAGGTGTTCCGCAGGGATCTGTGCTCGGGCCTATGTTTTATATACTGTTTACCGCAGATTTACCTGAATCACCTGAAATACTATCTGCCACATTTGCAGATGATACAGTGGCACTGAGTTGCAACAAGGATCCGAGAATTGCTTCTCAGAAGCTACAAGCACATCTCACAACCATTGGCCAGTGGATGGAAAAATGGAAGATAAAGGCGAGTGCCTCCAAATCCACTCATGTAACTTTTACGCTGAAGACTGGAATTTGTCCACCAGTTAAGCTTGGAACAGAACAGCTTCCGCAATGTGACGTTGCTAAATACTTGGGGATACATCTTGATAGAAGGCAAACATGGAAGACCCATATTCAAAAGAAAAGGGATGAACTAAATATTCGCTTTCGCTCACTCCTTTGGATAATGGGAAGACACTCGCGTCTCAGTTTGAATAACAAGCTTCTCATTTATAACGCGGTATTAAAACCAATTTGGACTTACGGCATCGAACTTTGGGGTACAGCGAGTAACTCGAACCTAGAAATCCTGCAGCGATTCCAAAACTCAGTGTTTCGCACCATACTGAATGCTCCATGGTTTGTGAAAAGCACAGAAATGCACGACTACTTGCAAAGCAACACTGTCAAGGACGAAATAAACGCTATAGCTAAGCGCTATCAGGGCAGACTTATTCACCATGTTAATAAACTTGCGGTGGCTCTCACTGATGTTAGCAAACACTCCAAAAGACTCAAAAGATGTACTATCGGAGAGCTGGGAAACAGGCATTAACTGAAGATCAGTGTGGAACAATGAGAGAAGAGCTTTTTGTTGAAAAAGCCATCTCGCACGCCCGAAAAGTCATTGAAATGTTCTGCTTATAGTGTAGACTGATCGCAGAAAGCGTTAACACAAAAAAAAAAAAAAGATTTATTACCTTTTTATGGCTTTGATTATACAATATTTTTTGGATAGTTTGCTGTAAACTACTTCAAACTTTCCCAGCAGATAAAAGTTATCAGTCCTCAGTTTCTTTAGCTTCATATACCGGTGATTGTTATTCGACGACCAATAACTCCTACCAGTCACAACAGCTTTCCTTTTCGTATTAATTTTAATCCGTTGATCAATGATTAAGTCAACTTCTTCTTAATCTTAAGTGAACTTTATGACTATTTGTGCACATATTCTAGGCTTGACGGCTGCAACGCGAGACCTTCGAGGGTACCGCCACGTGACAGCCATGGCTGACTATGCGCTCCGTCTTCGTGAGCAACTGCAATACGTCAACGAGCACTCTTTCAACAGCTTCCGAATCCGAATCGGTAAGTGTAGGAAAATCTCCTCTATATCAGGTAAGTATGAAAATATTAAGAATGTGCAATGCGAATTGTATAAAAAAACCACTGGCGCTAGTTGCGAATTTTAGAAGTGTTCATCACAGATGTGTCTGTGGTATGCAATGGTTGCTAAAACAGTCTCTTGTTTTATAAAACTTTTGCCACGTATTTTTGTAAATTTCTGTCAGGCATCAACATCGGACCGGTGGTTGCTGGTGTGATTGGTGCTCGCAAGCCGCAGTACGACATCTGGGGTAATGCCGTCAACGTTGCATCGCGAATGGACTCCACTGGCCTTTTGGATCATATCCAGGTGAATATTTAGAATCTCACGTGATTCGATAATCCAAACACCGTCATGTTATATACCAACTACAGTTAATTCTATTGTAAATTGATTTGTATTTGTTTTATGCTTTGGATTTACTGAATCATTCCCAACATATCGCTTTGCGATTGTGGTACCACAATAACTAATTTAGAATAATTTTGCTAATGCGAAGCCAATGGACTTTTCTAAATATTGTCGATATTAGTATCTGAATGTGTCTGGCTATATCTCTATTGCCAAGCGATTGTGTAGGTGACGCAGGAGGTTTACGATATCCTAGCGGCGCGGGGCTACAGTCTGCGGTGTCGGGGTACGGTTGATGTCAAAGGCAAAGGCAACATGGTGACATTCTTCCTTGAAGGAGTCGGTGATGCTATGAACCCTGGCTGTCGCGATATATACACTGTGAGTCTCTAGCTTTACCTTTTTTTTGTAATCTTGTGCTTTTTAACATTAGAGTTTTAGTTAATACTTAAGGAGATCCTCTTTCTTTGCTATGACAAATCTAATTCAAATCACAATTGAACTAATAATGAACTTTACGTTCATTTGAACTGGTTAATTAATGGCAGAATCCGCAGCCCTCCACGTCGTCGGATGGGGGGCGCGAGGAGCTGAGCGCGCGGCCCGACCACTGTCCTCTCGAGACGCTCTCCGAGGGATGCACGGACGAAGACGGACCCTCACCACGAGCGTCCATACCAAGGGGTATGTATCTCAAACATATCACTGCTAACAAACATAAATAGATTTAAAATTTTGTTCTCCAATTATTTATTCATCTCGTTCTTTTTTCTATATTTTCTTACAAATTTAGTATACACAATCATATCTCAGGTTTGACAAAACTGTCTGAATTCGCTTGTCGATTTTATTCTTAATTTTTGGGTTCAAAGTCTGTGACAGAATTTTGTAGTAACCTGACGTGCGTGTGTAAGTGCATAAAATTGCTTGTGAAATCTGTGTTAACTTTGGTCAATTCCAATTTCAGAAAACCATACTGACACGGTGAGCCCTATCCTCCACAATGGCGGTTCCTCCTCTCGTGAGAGTTTGGCCAGTGCTGTGAGAGCAAGAGTATTGCGCCGGCTTGAGAGGCCACAGTCCCTCGCCGACGAACCAAGTCTACCAGCCATCATCTCGATGATCAACGCACGCGCGCATTCCACAGACTTGGAATATGCTGACGAGAAGAAGAACTATTCCCTTAGAGATGTGACGAAGACCGTTATGGAATCCCGCAGCAGCGGAGAGATCGAGGCTCTCCTCGACGGTAGAGGGCCTCGTAGAGCAGCCAGTTTAGCGGACTTCCTATTCAGGCGGAAACAACCTAAACTCAACCTCACTGCGGTCAATATTATCGCCAACCCAATGAATGTGGTATTCGACTGCGAGACCCGAGGATCACCCGAACCGACATTCACAAGCTAAACTTCTTACTGGATCAGACTGCGAAATACACACTGCACAGAGGCTTTATATGTCGGCCGTCAATGTAAATATAGACACTTAAGTGGAACCTCCCACAGAGTCTACTCTGTGATCTGCTGCTATGCGAATCGTTAGATGAACCGATACGTCTACGATATTCGTTGTATCAGTGAGTGTTTGATCTTTTTCACTTTTATAATGAGACGATAATGAAAAGTAGTATTGTATGCTGATTGGGTGATTGTGTTATAGATATAAGCTGCTGACTAAGAGAGGTTAGAAACTAAATGATACCCGAACAAATCGGGAAAGCGTAATGTAGTTATGCCTGCTGGTGGTTTTCTAAGCACGGTATGTTGTGTATTTGGCTTAAAAGGACTAGAGCCGCTTATGATTCCAAGACTGACAACATTGACACTTATTGGGAAGAAATACGACCGGACATAGAAATATTAATCATGATATACGCTTACGAATTTATTGATATTAAAATTAAGAATAAACGATGGATTTTGACGTAAGGTTGTGATACTGCGGACGGCATCGTGGCGTCCGTGGACGCTGTCAATTGAATCGTTAGTTTCGAGTTTGACGAGGAAAGAATGAATAATTAATTCATTCTTTCCTTATATTATTAAATAAATATATTAATAATTGAAATATATTATATTTAGGTAGATGATGATGATTTATATTTACAACTGGTAACAGTGGACGGTTCACCACAACGACACAGTCAATGAAACGTATTTATAGAAATAACGTCAACTTCTAATTTTTAGTATCCAATATTATTTATTATAAAGAAATACATTCACGCGCTTAGATATGACGAATTAATTGATAAAATAACGACGTCGATCATAATTGTTTCGCCATTAGAACACTTAACAAAGAATTACTAAAAACTCTTTACGAAGATACACTAAAGTTCTTTCGTAGTTAATGTTAAAATAGTTGTATTAATAGTCATCATCATCATAATCAGCCGATGGACGTCCACTGCCGGACATAGGCCTCCTCTAGGGAGCTCCAAACACAATGATCCTCTCTCGCCTCTCGCTGTGCGACTCCGAGCCTTCTTATGAGGCCCATTGTCAACGACCACGTCTCAGCTCCGTATGTTATCACTGGCAACACGCACTGTTCGCAGACCTCTGTCACTGTCTACAAGCACTGAGGTAAGTTACAAGAGGACGAGAAGACATCGCGAAGTTTCCTGAACGCTGTCCAGCCAATTTGAATTCGGCGGTTTACCTCTTTCGAAATCTGTCTCTGTCGAAATTGGACTTACCCAAGCTGACTACTTGTCCTAGATATAAATATTTGTCGACAATTTCGAGTGCAGAGTTCTCAACGATTACCGGGTGGAGCGGAACATGAGCTTTAGATATGATTTTTGTCTTACTCATTTTCATTTTAAGGCCCATCTGTTGAGAGGCTCGGCTGAGGTCATTAAGCATTGTATTGAGATTCTCCTGAGAGTGAAGTGTCTGCCATAACAACTATATCATCGGCAAATCGAAGGTGAGTAATGTACTCACCGTTGATGTTGATGCCAAGTCCGGTCTAATCCAGAAGCTTAAAGATGTCTTTCAGCGCAGCGGTAAATAGCTTTGGAGAGATTACAACTCCCTGTCGCACTCTTCGCAGTAGTTGGATAGGTCTCATAGTCTGGTCTTGTATGCGGACTGTCATGGTGGCGCTTTCGTACAAACTCTTCAGCACCTAGATGTAGCACCGTCAATACGGCACCTCTGCAAAGATCACAGCACAGCCCATGTCTCCACCGAATCAAAGGCTTTCTTATAGTCCATAAACGCTAAGCATAGTGGTAGGTTATATTCCTCGATCTTCTGTATAACCTGCCGCAGAGTGTGGATGTGCTCTATGGTACTGAATCCTTTACGGAATCCGGCTTGTTCAGGAGGCTGGAAGTCGTCTAACCTATTAGCCAGGCGGTTCGTAATGACTCTCGAAAACAACTAGTAGACGTGGCTCAGTAGCGAGATGGGTCTGTAGTGTCTCAATAGGGTGTTCTAGACGCTCCTGTGCCATGCCTCTGGCGTTATGCCTTCGTGGATAGCAGAAGTGAATAATCGCTGAAAGATTTTACGTACTGGTTTTCCACCTGCTTTCAGGAGTTCCGCTGTGATTCCATCATTCTCTGGCTCCTTGTTGGTCTTTAGTTGTTTGAGAGCCATACTAATCTCGTAAAGGCTGTCGTCTGGGATATCTTCGGTATAATGTTGGGTTAATTTGGCTCTGGGATCTTTGGCCAAATCAGCAACAGGTTTCTGTGTTGAGGTGTATAATGTATGTCCATAGAAGTTCTCGACTTACCTCAAAATCGCAGGCTTCGAGGTGATAAGACTACCGTTTCGGGCTTCAGCTGCGTCAGCTGACTTTGTGCGATAGACAGATCTCTCGCAAACACTTTTGTACCTCTGTTGTTCCTAGTGGTATCTTTAATCCTTCCGGTATTTAATAGACTAAGGTCATGTGACTGTGTTTTAAAGATCTGACTGTTAATTAGCCGGTTAGCTGCCGCGTCCGTTGAAGACTGGAGTCTCATATTTTGCCTTCTCTTATGAGTCCTAGAGTATAGTCAGAGAACCTTTTGTGCCCTTTAATCCGACACCACCGTGGGACTGATGCTCGCCCCGCGGCCAAATCGCAGAACATCGATCAGTGGATTTTCCCCAATCAGGCCTAATGCTGATCAGTTATACCGCCATTCTTCGTTCGCCTTTAAACCTTGTTCGTTAGTCAGCAGGGGGCACCACGAGCAGGTGAGGTAGGCAGTTGGGGCGCTAAGATGATAGGTCACCCCGTAACCCCCCCCCCCCCCTTCCCATATTAATAGTGCATACTCTTAATAAATATTATCTGTATATAAAGAATAAACTAGTAAATTAAATTAATTAATTAGAAAGTCTTCTTTAAATAGATACCTTCTAATATAATCTAATTTAAAACTTTGGAATATGAATTAATTAAAAATCAACCTCAAACTTATTTACATACTTGTTTTCAATAAGTGAGAACTTGTTACTAATATAAAAACTCGCGAAAGGAACATTTAGGAACTACCTGGGTAGGTTTGAGCTCAATTTGCTAAATTAATGAAATATTTTCGGAAAAGTATGTCATGTGTAAATATTAAAATAATTATTGTAAATATAGAACTTAATTAATTTATCTTATTGTGGTAAGTTTTGACTCTAAAGGCAAAGCGGTAAAGTGTCAAAATTTTAGTTAGTAAGATGAGTTCAAACTATTCTCCTTCATTATTCTCATTTTAGTAAATATTTTTCTAAAGATAATTTATCAAATTATTTAAGGCCATCAATGTCTTTTAATTTTTACTTACCTATATCGCGTGTCTACCTGAATAATAAAATAGTTTATTTTCTCCTTTAACTGTATATTCCTTAAAAACTGTAAATATTAAATACCAAAACAAAAACTATAAAAACCCAAAAATAAAATATTTATGTATAATTATGTTCACAAAATACTAATTAGAGTACACGCCTGAGTTAGTAAGAAGTACAACTTTGAATTATTTACGTACATTGAGATTATTAAGAGGGCGGTTCTATTTGTTATGGTAAGTTAGATGTTTGTTGTGTTATGTACTTCACAGTGTAAAGAAGGTGTTGCAGTGCCACGTCGGTGTTCAAATAAATCGAATGACGTTTTCGCGAGTTTAATGGAATTGTGAGTTTTTACTGTGACAGTGAAAAATAACTGTTGTGGCATATCTAGGCGCGATCATTCATAAATAAAGTCATGTCTTTTAATAGGTATCAGTATGTTTTTAACTCAACGAACCCAAGCTCATTGGAATGGAAAGAAGTTTTGCAGGTGCTTCATATTTGATAAAGTTTCTTGATCATTTTAATGATACGTAAGTTTTAAAAGTCTTGTAGGTACTAGTCTAGAAACTTTTGGACGATAACCGCTTGAATCAAATGGTAGATAAAGAACAAAATTCTATAAATAATAATGATACAGACAACAAGCAATTAAGGCCGTAGGATATATGTTACACCCACTTTGACTGAGCTAAATAATATTTATAACTTTTGATTTAAAATTATAGTTTTAAGTTAATGGTACGAGTATATAAATAAATAAATAATAATAAACAAATAAATATTTCCAACACTCACACCAATTAGCCTAGCCCCAAAGTAAGCACTGTAAGGCTTGTGTTATGGGATGCTAGGGTAACGGATAGAATACATATACAGTACATATATAAGTATATTTATATAGGAATACATATTAAAACTCCATGACTGGAGTACAAATGCTCGTATTCATCACACAAACATCTACCCCCATCGGGATTTGAACCCAGGACCTCTCGAATCGGCGACACCATGAAACCCGGCGTACAAACCACTAGAATTGGTTGAGTGGACCGCGAACATTGAAGATGGTGTTTTCAAGTATAAAGTGAATTTGATTCAAATGGATCTATAGTAAATAAATAGTTTTTATCAAACCAAAGATGAACAAACTTGGTTTTAATATTTTATTTATAGATATTTGATCCATAAAAACCAGGACCCTATATCAGTAAGTCGACATAATAGTTATAAGCTGACAATTGTCAATTGACAGGTGATTAGTGACAAAACTTTAAACTACTAATATAATTTCTACAACAGTTATGGGGTAATTTTTTTAAGTCGATATATTTGTAAAATTGTCGATAATTCTTGATATGAGATCGGGGCTGAGTAAGATTTGCGTTACAATTGTAGTGTCATCGTTGTAGTTACAAAATAGCTCTCCTCGAAAGCTTGAAAAGATGAGTTCTTATACAGAAGCATTAGTGAAGAACGCATACTTACATTGCTACTTTCATATCATTAATTTTACGTTTAAAGAAAAAATCTGCATAAGCAAATCCAGTATCGAACATTTAATAAATAATGAAAACGTTGCAGTAAAACGATCATACCACAAGAAACCGTCGGTTTATA